ACTGAAAGCAAGAGCACTGGAAAAAAATATACCTGCTGTATTTATTTATTTATTATAATTTATTATAATTTTCTACAATATCTACATATGAAAAATACATTTAATATTGAATGCAGCAGAAAAGTATGCAATAAAAACAGACATACTAATTTCTTTCTTTTATATTTCTACATTTTGACTGATGATATAGGCTCTCAGTGCATTATCCTTGACTTGACGGTTTGTTGGCTTGGGCAATTTCCTGGTCAGAACGAAAAAGGGACAAGCCATAAATTTATGACCCGCCCTTCTGGCCTCAATAATGAGTAAAAATTTTCGATAATTCCGGGTTTGTCGACCGCTTTGGTGTCCCTTTTTTTTTTGGCTGCGCTTCGCTGGGCACGGCTCATTTGTAATTCACTTTCACTGTCTATTTATTTGCAATTTATTATGGATCGTTTGAGAGTGAACGAGATGAGGAACCGAATGAATTGTCGACTCATTGGATTATCGAATGGATTTTGATTTTGGGAACCAGAGGAGAGCTACAGAAAAGTTCTGAGCGAATGATGTCTAAAAAATCCCATAAATGTTAATTGCATTGTTGACCCTATTGTCTCCTGACAGCTGCCTGGAATGAGGTCGACAATTATGTGTACCCCGTCTCCGGGCCATCATACAATCACACACACACTGGTCAAAAAGGGCAAGGAATTTTTCGGCCAGGACATCAAATTCATTAGAAACGCTTCGCCTTTGAAGAGAGCCAGGATATGTGTGTGTATGTATGTGAAGTATCCTGGCCATTGGACTGCTGATGCTGCTTGTGTTCCTGCATGCAAAACGATGTTTTAATATGAAATTAGTTGAGTCCTTTGCTTTCTGGCTTTTGGCTACAGTGCGTGCAGCCAAAGGAGAGAGAAAGCTGGAGATCTGGAAAACCGGACAGGACTTGGTCACTTGGCCAAAAGTAAAACAAATACAAATTGCTTGCCATGTACTTATTTGGTCAACAAATGACAGGACATTCAGTGTAGATAGAGGCAAAACGTATAGCCAACATTAACACAACATTGTGACTGTTGACTTACGCAACAAGAAACAGTTACGACCAACTGCCAAAGTAGAAGCACAGTAACAGCCACAAAAGTGGGAATACACTAGCTAAGCTAAGGCTCGAACTGAAGCCGTTACCATTTCGAGTTTCTGGCTAACGACAGGAGTGGTGGTCCATTCAAGATGGAAAGCCTGTTGGCCCAAACAATTAAGACAAAGTGTAAATGTTTGTTTCATTGACTTTTTAAATGGAAATGCGTTAACTTGGCTCTGTCTGGGATTTTCCGAAAAGTACGTATGAGTTGAGTGGTGTTGAAGCAATAGATATAAATATGGTTAGAGAGCTAGAAGTAAGCCAGAGAAAATAAAAAAACATTTTTGGCTCAAAGCTGAAAGACATTAAATAAAGTGAAACAGCTTTATTTTGCTTCTGCAGTTAGATCTATGGCTATGGTTTTGTCTGGTTTTTAAGCAAAACTGATTTTTCATTCTTGCACAATATTTATTTTAAAATGCTTGTATATTCACATTTTGAAGGATTAGGTTTATTTTTTGCATTTCCCATAAACTTGCAGAGAAAGAAGAGTCAAGAAAAAGAACATTGAATAATACCTTTTGCATTTTATAGAACTCTAGTTAACCGGGAACCAGTAATTTTCACACTCTTTCCCTTGCCAATTTAGAGTAGATTTCGCTAGCGAACACTAATAGACGTGGGGCTCCAATTTTCCAAGCATTACAACAACTACCGAACATCCGCGCCCCCCTTCGATTTGACATGCGGCAGGCTGGCTGCCGGAACTTTTTCAACTGTCAATTAAAAGCGAAACTAATTAAACTTTGCAACACTGGCACAGACGAGACGCGTAATTAATCGACACACATATACCAGCCGCAAAAAAAAAAAAAAAACACAAAAAAAATTAAACGCCCACGAAACGCTCAGAATTGTAGGAAAGTAGGTCTTGGCAAAACTTGGCACAGGGCAATGCTAATGCAACAAACGCTTAAACTTTAATTAAACTTTGATATAAGCAAGGAGTCACGACGATGACGACAATTATTAATCAATTTGGCGATTTAGTTAAGCAAAAAGGATTTAACCAAAAAGCGGCATTGGCGTCGAAAACAACAAACAAAAAACAAAAAACTTCCGCGTGCAAACAAAATTATATCCGCTTTTCCTTTTGTTAAGCCCAACAATCTCTCACACCACAAAACCACAATATCCATCCCCCCCAGCCCACAGAAAGTCCAAGAAGAAGAAAACACATTGTCATCATTGGGGGAAACGCCAGGCGGTAAATGACAAAAGGGAAAAAGTATTATGGAGGCTTTCGTTGATCGAAAATCAAAATACTCTGGTAAAATAACTTTTTCAAAATCAAGCTAAGGGAAGTTTTTGTTACCTTGGCAAATATATTTTATTTTTAATGCAATTAAAATTATTAAATCTTTAAAAATTCAGAACAAAATGTGTTTAAAGTAAAAGAAACAACTTATAAAACTTAAAAAATATTATTAAATCTTATGTTAAGTCTATAATTTTCCCACTTTCATTCCAAAAACAAAAGCCCTTTGGGCCGAAAGGGTATTCCAAAAAAGAGTAAAGCACTGAAAACAATATGGCGCCACTTCCGGTTGCGTATTAACAGCAGGGTGGCATTAGGGGCCACATTGCATTGTCATGAAGCGTGCCGCAGCTTAGTGGGTGTCATTGGAGTTATTGCCCCATTGTCTGGGCGTCATCATCATTAACGGGTGGGCCGGACCGAATGTTTTTGATCGATATACTCGTACACCTTGTGTACCTTAGACCCCTTGCAGGTTGGTTGGGAAATCATTTTAAATTTTACCAATGCCCCCTAGCCGGCTTGAAACATCAAATTAGATTAATGACCGGGGCGGTACAACAAAGTGTGGTGGGAGAGAAGAGGAGAAGCAGAGCCAACCTCAGATCGGGACAAAGCCACCAAACAAACCCAATCCGAAGTGAACTGAACACTCATTATGCGCCGCACGAGTTCGATTTGATGCTCATTTACTTGTTTGTCTGCCCCATGATTTTTCTTTCAGCCAGGATTCTCTTTTTTCTTTTTTTCCTCCTGCACATCGCCCCTTCCACTTTTTTCCTTTTTACCTCCCGCCTGTTGTCTTTGGGCTTCTCGCCGCTCGGCTCACCGCAATAATTGGAAAAGTTTTCATTTGAACGCCATCAACGACAGCGGCAACAGCAGCAACAAGAACAATGGGGCGTGTTACTACAACAAGAAAATTGCGGTTCCAACAACAACATCTTCAGTAGCATCAGCAGAAGCAAGAACAACAACAACAACAGCAGCACCGAACGCCGGCAAAAAGTCATCAAAAGGCTACTAAAGGTTGACGCAGGCAATGGCCAGTGAGTGTCCCCATTTGCCCCTCATGCCACTACCCTTTGCATCCACCACATCAGCATCAGTATCAACGCCCATCCACCCAATGTCGGTAGCCCTTCCTTTTTTCAGCTCTACACTGGGAGAAAAAACTACTGAGATGTGGTCAATTGCATTCCAGTTTTTATTTCTTTTTTCATTATTATTTGAAAACATATTTATCGATATTTAATGAATATTTTTGTGAACTTAGATTGATGTTAATATAAAAATATATATATATATATATATATATATTTAAAATGATTTTTCTCTCAGTGCATGCCCATCTTCAGCCAGGCATCCTCATTCTGTCCAGCAACTTTTTGCGGCCATCGCACGCTCTCATAGATTTGGCACGCAACGGACCACGAAAACGAAACGAAAACACTTTACACTCCAGAAGTGCAAGCGAGATGGCGAAGGCCGAGTAAAAGGGAGAGGGATAGAGTCTGAGTTCAGAGACCGATCTACTATTTGTCCGCTTGGCCAGATGGCTAGCCTGCATTTCCCGATGCACTGCAATGGGAAAATAGTTTGACAGGCAAACAAGAAAATTTCGAATCTTGTGTTAATTATTAAATATATTATTAATTAAATTATAATATTAAATATTACATTTAGTTTTTGTTAGGTTTATTTATTACCTTTTTTTGTTTTAAATTTTTTTGCAAGAACATTGCATATTCGCCTAGTTGCCGACCCCTTCGCTGACCATCCTGGCCATTGCAGTTTGCCTACAATGATTCAAGTTTTCATTATCAGGCCTGGCACTTCTCACTCTTCACTGGCCAAGTTTACCAGCTGCCGGACCATCTCCCAAACTTTTCCCTTACCCAATTTTCCATTTACCCCCCTTCCACCTTTGCAGCCAAACGTGAGAGCATTGAGAGTGAAGCAAAGGACCAGCAGCAGGAGCAGCAGCAGCAGCAGTTAAATGTGAAAAGTTCCATTTCGTGTGGATTACGTCGTTTATCCTGGCAAACAGGCAAACAGAGACACCCACACAGAGGCAGAAACACTTGCCCAGGATAATCATCCAGGCAGGCAACCGCTTTCGATCGCTTGCTGGGCAAATGCATTTTCGACGCGCTTCAAATGCGCCGCCAAGCAATCCGCTCCTCCTAACCCTCCACATCCCGTAAAAGGAAAACCAATGAAAATGTTTGCCCCGCTCACAATGCACTTGGGTACTAGGACGCCAGGACTCCAACCGAGGGCGTAAGCAAGTGTGCGTGTGGGCGTGGCATTTTAGAAAACGGGTGACGGGTGCAAGTTGCCAGAATTTGTTATAGCAAATGCTAATGAAAAGTTACTCGTTACCAGTTGCTGTCTGTGACTGCGGTTTCGAGGGATTTCGAATTAGTTTTTCGGCTTAATTTTCGCTTGGTAACAGCAGAAAAAACATAGAACTTCCGCTTTGTAATTGAACTTAATCCCTATTTTTATTCCAAAATAACAAAAAATAATGCATTTATTTCAATAATAAACAATACGTCTGGACACAAAATTTTAAGTAAAATTAACGACTTGCTGAATAAAACAACCTAATCTAAATTGCTATTGCTTGCTTGTTAATGAACAACCTTTTGGTACCATAAGACCAAACAAAACACATAATTATCATTTATAAATTATAAGGTCTTAAACAAAGAAGTGCCCCAAAAAATGCTAAAAATAACAGATAATTGGTAGATAAGATGCTGATAAGACTGATGCTGCTAGGAAAGCATCATCTGATAGTCAGTCATCATAACAATCATGATCTCTGGATTGAAAACACGTACTTTGCTCGGTCTCCTGGCACTACTTGTTTCAGGTAAGTGGCGACAATAATTTTACTTTATACATTAAAATTCATTAAGGAAACATAAATTACTAACTTATTTAGAAGCTTGTCCGTTTGTTATGAAGCTATTCAAGCTAATAAATAAGATAACGGTGACCTAAGACCAAAGGTCTCTCGCTTTTGAATTTCGACACAACTTGAATTTAAACGAAATAAAGATACTTGAAAACTAATAATAATTCTCTAAACTAAACATCTCTAGACGCCAACAGTGTGGTTTGTCCATACTATGAGGAATGCATCCGAATGGACGAATGTTTAACGCTTATGCCCTATCTTGCGGGTACAAGGGAAAGATCATCGGAGGTGATGAATATGTTACGAAGAAGAACGTGCTACTTTAATCCGTGGGCCAGTAATGGACCCTTAGTGCATAGGTGGTTCGTTTGCTGTCCATTGCCAGGGGATATTTTACCAAATACAGACATATGCGGACAAAGACCGTCTACGGATCGAGTTATTGGTGGCAAAGAGGCGCCGATCAACGGTTATCCATGGCTGGCCGTGCTTCTCTATAGAAATAATGAAACCCACGAGCTGTTTAAGCAGCCTGGTTCATTGTGTATAGGTTCGCTGATCAACAATCGATACGTCTTGACAGCAGCTCATTGTGTAATTGGAGAAAATATTAAAAAACATAAATTAGATCTTGTTGGTGTTCGTTTGGGCGAACATGATCTTTCCACTAATCCAGACTGCCAGAAAGGTGCAAATGGTAAAAGACATTGCGTCTCACCTCATTTGGATATCCATTTGGAGGAAATAATTATTCATAAATACTACGCGACTGAGGATGGAAAACATTACAATGATATCGCCCTTCTGAGACTTCTATTGCCAGTAACGTGAGTAGCAGAAACCCGATTTGAACTCTTTATATTTATAAAACTTTATTTATTTATTCCTTTTAGCTATACAAAAGAAATTCAACCAATTTGTATCCAGCCTAGCCCACGCAATTCCAACCGTTTCTTCGTTGATCAACCTTTGGATATTGCTGGTTGGGGTAAATCGGGATCGGACACTTCTAAAAATATACTGTTGCAGAGCACAATCTTTGGAATGGATCCGCATAACTGCTCAGATCGGTATCCAATTTTAGGAATCAATATATGGACTCATCTATGTGCCGCCACTCACGATGGAACGGATACTTGTCAAGGCGACTCTGGCAGCCCCCTAATGGCCACTGTAGGCCGTGGCTTTGAAGAGTACACGTACTTAGCCGGCATCTCTTCGTATGGCTCCACAATTTGTGGAATAGGTCCATCTGTTTACACTAGGACCGATAATTACATTGATTGGATTAAGTATCACATCAGACAATAATAATTTACAGCCAACAACAACAATATTTTCAAAGCACAAAACTTGTTAATTGACCTTGTCTAAATTTTTAAGCGATAAGAATAAAGAATGAATGAATGTTATTTTGTTTGTGTATTTGTAAAAAAGAATCAAAGTAATAAACAAAATTATAAAAAAAAGTAGTTCCAAGTTCCCAAAACTTTGGCTGCCCAAAGAATCTTAGAAACAATTGCCCAAAGAGTTTTTAATCAGCTGAAGTATAACCTTTATGGTATTCCCCGCAATATCCTGCTGGCTTCGACCGAAAATCAAATGGAAGCCGAGACCACACAAGTAACACTACCTTTTTCTTCACAATGCCCAATGCCATTCTAATTCCCTTCCAACTCATTTGTTTCCACTCGCTACAACCGCTGCCAGTTATCTTTCAGCACTCAACATCCAATGACTACTGGCACCACCTACACGTCCGGCTCTAGCTCTACTGTACTGGCTCCCACACACATATATAGCTTGGAAATGTTGTACCAATAAGCCAGCACGAATCCTGAATGAGAAGTCCTGAATGAAAATCGGGGGCGGGAGTTGATGTGATGATGTGCTGGAGGAGTATCAGGAGGAGCTGTGGGAGGAAGCTGAAGCTCCGGTAGATTTGCTTACAGCTGCAATGCCATGCAATTTAGTTGAATTACCAAGTGAAACAATGGCGTCTGTTAATTGGTTTCCTTTGTCCTCGGCCCTCGGTAATGGGGTTGCATCCGCTTTGGACCCAAAACGTCTCGTCCCTCGTCCCCTACATCATCTCTGGCATCTCTGCTGGCTGCCCTTGGGCTGTGGCTGTTACTGTGGCGCTGTGGCTGTTGCTGCTGTTTGCCAATTGCTAGAAGAATTTAAAATTGTCTTTGCCAAGGCAAATTTATTAAACAAACAAAAAGCCAAAGTCAAGAACTTTTTGGACGTAGATGGAGATGGAGATGGACGAAGCGGACCAGTGGATCTCGAGCCTTGAAGCTAGTGAAGTGCAGCCATGAAAATTTGCATTTCGCACTAACTAACCTAAGGACAGGAGGTTGGAGAATGGACCATGGGCGACAGCTGGCAGCTCGACCAGTACTAATGAATGCCAAGACTCAGCTGCTAGGAATGCACTTAAAGAAATAAACTGAACATGAATAATGTAGATCCTAAAACTCGTTCATTATCCATCTTAAACAGGAAGTTAGGACCTTTTTGTTAGTTAGTTCTTAGCATATATAAAACGTTATATTAAAACTTTAATTTATAATTTATATCTTGTTTTTTTTAGTGTTTTCCCTTCGTGGTCCTTATGCTGGTGTCATTTTCCCAAGACTTATCCGAATGTGACTTGAACCAGCTTGCTTATCTTTATGACGGCGCATAACTAAATGGCCAATCAGTGGGGCTGCAGCTGACAAATGATTGTCTTGGCTGGTCTACACAGACTCCCTTGATTTCAGCCAAGACCTTTTTTGGTTTTGTATATCAAGAAATTTAACTTCAACGTTCAACAGGAATTAGTTTGTTGTTTAGATGAGAACCCTTAAGCCCGCAGTTTACTTAATTGTTCCAGAAATTCTAAGAGATCCACTAAAATCACAGCAAGTTATATATATCTAAAAAATAATACTGAAATACCCATAAATATTCTGATATCCAAGGAAACATCAAATAAAATATGGTCACTATTGTTGTCAGCTTCCAGAGTATTAGCTTAATCGCCTTACTATTATGGGGAAAATTGAAATTTCAGCAGCAACAAACACTAAATCTATCACCAAATCCGACGAGGCCATATCAATATTGCAATTGATTTTAACAGTTGTTAAAAGCACACAACGCCGAAAGACGAAGTAAAAAGCCCCGCATTTCCATTGTAAAAGTTTTCCCCAGATGGAAATATTTGCATATACTCCGCGTTGAAAAGGAACAGAAACCAGGGAATCGTAGATGCCGAAAACTTTTGGATTTTGTAGAAGGCTTTGACTACTTTTTCTTTCTTTTTTTTTGTTTTTTGGCTCTTGGCTTTTAGCTTGGCTATAAGTCAATAAGCGAGTGTTGAGCTGCAAAGCGTCGCAACTTTTGGCCATTTGAGAAATGAACTCAGCAGTCAAGTAAAGGCAGCTGGCTGACTGTCGTCATAATTTGTCTGGCAAGTTTATTGCAGCGCATAAATCGGTTGGCATTGATGACAGCCAGGATAGCCAGGCGGCAGGCAGCAGGCAGTAGGGCTCACACACTAAATCAATTATGATTAAAGCTCATTACACTTGCAGCACACGACTTGGGGTACGCGGCAGCCACAAACTTGTGCGGAAATTGCATGGAAAGGGGTTTGGGGTTGGGTTTTGGGGTTTTTGGGATTTGGGGTTTGCTTAGTTTGGGGCTTGCGTTCGGGATCTCCAGAGTCTCGAATATGGAAGAGAGAGAGTGGGGTCTGTGGTTGCGCCCTGCAATGACAATGATTTGCATTGCCATCGACTGCTCGAACGCTCACTAATGCATGCCCCATGTCACTAATTTTCAATGCGACGGCCAGCCACACAAAGGCTGCAGAGGAGGGGTAACGCGGGACTAGGGTGCTGCTGGAGTTTCGGTTTATAATTGAGAGAATAATTAGATGAGTGTCATGAGTTTCGGGAGTACTGACTATAATAGTCCAAAGTCCAATCAATTGCTGTATACACTTAAGGAAAATTATTCAAAGTCAGAAATTAACACTTGAAGCCGTGAAGTGGCGGTGGAAATAGGATATTGGCAAGTTTTCGATTTCATTTTGTATGGTGTTGCTTTTTATGACAAACTTTTTTACTAATATAAGCAAAAGTTGAGAGCTTTCTTTTTTATATCTTGAAATTGAAACTTTTGTAATGAGAATAATGGCTATATATCTTAACTTTCTTATCATGTTAAATATTTTATATTAATTTTTGAGCTTTAACAGTTATTATCCTTTCACCTCAAGTGTATTGCACTATAACCAAATTCAGGACTAATTTTCAAGGAATTTGTGTAGCCAACAGCCACTGCACGAAACAAAACAAATTGCGTGCCCAAGAGCTGAGCGAATGATAAAAGTCTATCGAAGTTAATGACAGCGTCAGCTTTCTTTAGAATCAACTTTGCCTGACTGCCAAATGTGTTGTCTTCGAAGGGAGACATTCTGTATTATTTAGCTTGCGTTTATTTCTCATTCAATATTTGTTTTGTGTGTTGAAAGACAAACTCCCACACACACAGAGACTATAGCATATATACACCAACACACACAGACAAACGCTGACATGGCATAGAGATATGGCTTTACATGCGTGTGAGTGTTTCGCTTCATATAGCTCGTATACCGACCGCCTTACTCTGTATATAAATGCCTACTTATAACGACATTTAATTTCAAAGCACGCACGCACAGGACGAGCCTGCAATATTGAATATTGAAGCGACTTTCACGGATACTCACTCAGGGAGCAGGGTCGTAGGTGGGTGGCAAGAAAAAGGGGTTGCTTTTTAACTGAGTTTCAAGATTATCATTATTAAGTCTTTATAATGAAACTCTTTCTATAGCCCTTTAAATCTATCCAACCTAGAGGCAATCTCTTGCAACGTCAACGTCAACTAACCAAACTTGACAAACGATAGAAGCCAAACAGGGATAAACTCTTCATCAGCCAATGAATGCGAAATCAATGTAGGGCCTGCCCGCCTGCCTGCTTGGCTGACTGCATGCCAGTGAGCGTACCCCCTTGAAGCTGCGCCCCTGGCACGCATACCAAATACCCTCGCACATCCATTTGCACCTACACGATCCTGCTTATTTAGTGGCCATGGTCGATGGACAGCACTCGCTAGTGGGTCGTGGATTTTGGGCCTGGGTCCGCTTTGTTTGCTCATCGCCACAGACAGTCAATTTATTTGCAACACATGCAGCAGTAGCAGCGGCAGTAGTGGCAGTAGCAGAAGCGGCGGCTTCCATCCGAAAATGGCGTCTTTGCACCTTCTAATCCTGAGCGCGTTTACGTTTTTGGCCCCTCTACCGAACTCTGTGTTTTTCCAAGGGGCCTCTGGGGGGTCTGCGCATAAATCTCGCACGCACAACATAATTATCCAGCCAACAAACGCTGAATGGCCAAGCGAATGAATGACTAGCTGGACTGGCTGGTCGCCCCCTTTCCACCAAATGGCTCCCTTTTGCGGGTGAGTAAGTTAGTGGCGCCCAGTGGCTGCGACTACTTAGTGGCAGGCAGGACCATGCTGCTAATGCCACATTTAAGCCCTAAGCGTACAGCAGTCACTGGAGCTAATAAAGGCTTAAAGTTGCCAAAAGCAAGACACTTTATTCGGTGTCTTTTAGTAAGTAAAACTAGTGATAATCGATGATAGGTTAAAGAAAGTGTACAACTTTAGTAGGAATATAAAGATTTATTATCTAAACTAAAGTAAACACTAACTTATATCCTTTCAAGATTTTTTACTTCTTCCGCCAACCCCATGGAATTTGGAATATCTGCAATCCTGGCAAAATGCCCGCTTGACATTGGACCTTGGACCAACACAACCATATGCTTAACCCCCTTATGCCCCTTAGACATACCTAATTAACATAAAAATTAAAGCTGCAAATGGGGCAACGAAAAAAGTTCGCACGAAAGTGGGATTGAAGTGGCTTTTGGGGCTGGCGGCTTAATACGGATTGTCGACAGAGAGTTCAACTTGATTTTTTTTTTTTTTGCACTATTATTATTATTATTATTATTGTAATGTGGTTTTTTTTTTATTGTTGGGTAAGCCTTTCACTCTACTTAAAGTTATTAGAGCAGAAAATCACATAAACGCAAATGAAGTAAGTTTCATGCCCGCGCAATGCTTAAGAGCGTGCAAAAAGCAGCCAAACAACTGTGTAAAGTACAGTAGCAACAACTACAACTAGAACTAACAACTGTTAACAACGCAAAAATAAAAACAAAAATACTGAAAAAACTATTGAAAAGAAGGATGCGAGCTTAAGGATACCCTGTCCTTCTTGAAACTAAGAATTTCGTTGTAAGAAATGAATGAGATA